AGTCTTTTATATCAATCCCAACAGCTTTGAGGACTGGCACAACAATATGCATAGCCTGTACTGATCTAGTTTTTTGTACGATCAAGACTAACAATAAATAATGAGCTATAAATAACACTATGTGGCTTCGGTGCTTATTTTTTATTTTGTTTAGTTAGAGTTCCAATAGGATGTTCCAATAGGGTGGTTTTCTAATTAAACAGTCTTTTTAGTCTTTTGCTTGTGATACTAGCTAAATAGCAGCACCTCATCACCAGTTTCTTCTTTTTTTGTATCTAAATCTTTTCAACCGATCCAGTCTTGATATATTTGTTCACTTCAGTTGCCTTTTTTTTGCCTTTTGTTTTTTTTGGAAATGTTGATACACTTGTTTTTGTTCACATTCTTCAAATTCTAAATCTGTACCCATTACCATTTTCTTTTTTCTTATTGGTCTTGTAGAAAGATTTTATCCTGTTGAATTTTTATAAGTCTATCATAATCTGCATGGGCCACATTAAGTAGCTTATTCAACTTGTTTATCAAATCAGTTTCCAATTTTAACTGTTTTTTAGTTCTGCGAGACTTGTTCTTTCCTATTTTAACATAAGAGTTATATATACTTTTAGTTTAGCAAAAGCATTCCTTTTTTGTGTTGTTGTACATTAGCAATAAATTTAATTTGTAAAACCTTATCAATAATATCAGAACAGCTTTGTGAAAGTTCCATTTTGCATGTCTTCAAGTCAGAAAAGAGGTGGCATAGGACAAGACGAACTGTGGGTAAACAGCTTGAACAACATAGTTTATCTAAAACTGGTAATCACTGACCAATCGGTTAGCCATACCTTAATGTCACATCTTGTTTTAATAACCTTCTTCTTTGACATTTTGATCGCTTAAAATACAAATTATATATAAGATACATATTCACCTAAAAATATATATTTTTTTGTCATTAATCATTTTCATTGAAGCTTAGATGAATTGGTTTTTTTTTTAAGGAGTACCAAGATCCAATTAAAACAAACATAGTTGTAATCAAAAGTTAAATTGACATTGATGAAATTAACATAATGCAATTTACAAATGAGTTATTTTACCAAATTTTATCACATTGTTCAATTTCACCTAATATAGCAATAAGTATTTTTAAAGGTTTTCCTTCAAGACCATATAAAATATATTCATAACAAAATATTCAGAATGAAGTTGAGTTTCTTGTTAATGTATTTTCCCAAAATGGGTAATCATACAAACAGTTTTCAGATATCGCCAAATATGGTTAACTATCAAATAAAAATGCAATAAACCAGTAAATATACCCTGGAAAAAAAAGACAAAAAAAATCAAACAATATATATATATATATATATATTTATATATATATATATATATATATATATATATATATATATATATATATATATATATATATATATATATATATATATATATATATATATATATATATATATAACAAACAAAAAAACAATATATATATATATATATATATTGTATATATATATATATATATATATATATATATATATATATATATATATATTATATTTATATAATAAGGAAATATATATATATTATATTTATATAATAAGGAAATATATATATATATATTGTTTTTTTGTTTGTTATATATATATATATATATATATATATATATATATATATATATATATATATATATATATATCCTTATATATATATATATATATATATATATATATATATATATATATATATATATCCTTATATCCTAGTCAAAAGATACTTTCAATGTAAAAAAAAGTCTCTTTCGATTACAATTTTGCTACCTCGACAATTAAGCTACGTTTTATTGTCGTCAAAATGTCAAAGCAATTAAATTAATCTGGAAGTACATTAAATTTTATTGTTTTTAAAAAAGCCGCAATTATAATGACTAGAAAGTTTTTTTTAATTAATAGTGTTTTTGTTGTTGTTTTGTTAAAAAATATTTTTAAAATATGCAAGGAGTGTTGCTACATCAACTATTTTATAGCCTGTTGCTACATGGGAGTGTTGCTACATAGACTGTTTTATAGCCCAACTCGCAACGGAATGTTATTTTTACAAAAAATTTTATTATAAATTTTTTGTAAAAATATGCATTCTTACAAAAAATTCATAATAACATTTTTTGTAAAAATGCATTTTTTTACTTTTTAGTTTGAAAATGCCATTTTCTAGGCAGTGAAATCTATTATAATAATTTTTTTATAAAAATTATTTTTGAAGTTTTTATATAATTTTGTTTCTTTTGAGACCCAACATGGAATACTTTTAAAATAACTATTTTTTGATAATTATAGGGAACTGCCTGATGTTTAAAGGTCTTGGGCTACCCCTTAAAATATTTTTTTTTAATATTTTTAAATTCTACTATTACTTTATTATATAGAACACATTTAGAGGGTGAGAGGAGACATTTTAAATAAAAGTTGTTTAAGGACCACCCTAATATATATATGTATATATATATATATATATATATATATATATATATATATATATATATATATATATATATATATATATATATATATATATATATATATATATATATATACTTTTTTAAATATATCAAACCTTCCCAGGAAATGTGTGCGGTTTTTTGTCTTGTATGTCCACGTATGAGTATTTTATTTTAGAGATCTTGGTCATGGCTATTTGCAAATTATTTTATATTAAACATTGCATAAAAAAATTAAGTTTTAAAACAAAGAAAGCAAAACTTACAAAATAGGAAATTAAAATATGTTTAAATTAAAAAAAATAAATAATAATAATAATAGTAATTTAAATAATTTTATTACTGTTTTTATTTTTGTTTGTTTGTCGTGGTTGTTATTTTTAGCAAGGAAATTGGTTAAAGCAAAAAAAAAAACAGTTTTAAGTCGACATTAAAAACAATGATTTTATTTGTTTTGTTTTTTTAAAGAGGAAAGTGAAAATATAAATTGCTATCTGTTTGTAAAATATATATGTATAATTATAATGTAACAAGTATATATTGTCCCTATATGAAAACCTCTATGTTACATACTGTATGTCATGCATATACTTTTATGTATAATGTTTTTTGTCATATAATTATAATAATTTATGCTATAGTTTACGCATGTTTAGCTTATTTGGATAATGCGTTTACTTACTACACGTAATGTCCATGGATTCCAATTTCCACCACTGTCAATTTTTCTAATTGTTTTTCTTTTAAATACTGGTCATATATTTGCTTTGTAACCATTTATCTTTTCTTTTTTGTATTGATTGTTTTTATGTGAATTTTTTACGCTGTTTTTTATTTCTAAGCACCTAATTGTGCTTTACTAAATAATAAATAATTGTTATTTAGGAAGAAACTCCTTTAGTAAAATGTTTTAAGCATTGTAGAATGGATAAATTGTGATGTCATTCTATGTTTATAATGCATGTATGTTTATAAGCATGTCGAAATTTAGCTTTAATGAAAAATAACATGTTTCTGTATAAAAGTTATCTATACTTTATAAATATATAATATAATATAAACTTATAAACTACCTTATAAACAGTTTGGCAGTTGATTTATGCAAAAAAGTTGTATAGAATTCAAATATAAAAGTCATAAAAGTAAAAAATTGATAAAGATTTGTTTGTTTATCACTTTTTTACCTTTATGTTGTTGTTTGAACAAAATTGTTCAAACAACAACATAAAGGACATTACTGTCTTTTATGTTGTTGGTTAAACAATTGAGCACAACAGGTTTTAAACATTTTTGTTATCAACTGGCAACAACTTCTATCCACTTTTTTGTGTGATTCAATCTTTTTTATTCTTTATAATGTCTTTTTTACAAAATACAATCTTTCTTAACTTTTTTACAACCACTTCTTCACATGGTACAACCTTTCTTAATGCTTAAATAACCACTTTTAATATGATACAATCTTTTTATCTCTGGTACAGCTAACCTTACCATTTTCACACATGACCAAACTGAACAACAGCCTATTGCAATTAAATTTTTAATTCCGAAAAAAATTTAACGATGCTGTAATAATGCATGACATAAATATTAGTACATATTTCTTCACTGATACAAAAATTACATCATTTTTTAGGCACATCTTTTAGTGTTATGTAATTTTGAATACCTGTTACTTTTTAACATTCTGCTCTGTGCGCTTAGTTCTACCTGCCCCCTCCCTTTTGGTCTTTTATGTTATTGGTGAACAATTATTAGTAATAATTATTATTAATTGTTGTGAATTATTAATATTTGTTTATGTATATTTCACTAATAACATAGTAGACCAATTCAGAAACGGTGGGTAGAAACACAAAAAACAAAAAGTATTGTAAAGAGCAGGGATTCGGACCAGAAGCATTCCCTGTATGAAGTAAATGCCTAATCCAAATAAGCTAAGCCTTTGTATACTTATGAACAAATAAATATAATTATATAATAAAAAAAGTTATACATATAAGTATATGCATGCATTACATAGACATTTTCATATAGGGATACATATTTGTTTCATTAAAATTATACAATTTTATTTTACAAAAACATAACAATTTATATTTTTTTTGCTTTGCCTTATCCAATTTTGTTGCTGAAAATTTTAACTCTCTAAAGAAACAAAAATAAAAACAATACACAAATTATTTAAACTATTATTACTATTTTTTCTATTTAGATTTATTTTAATTTTCTATTTCGCTAGTTTTGCTTTTTTTGTTTATGAATCTTAGTTTTTCCGCAATGTATTAAAAAAAACAAAAAAACTTGCAAACATTCTTAACCAATTTGTCTAAAATAAAATGCTCATGCATGGACATACAAGACAAAAAACCGAATGCGTTTCTGGGAAAGCTTGAGTTTTTCATTAATTATTAGTTGATATTACTTTTTATTTTTATTGACATGTTTTATTTGTAATTTTTTTTAAAGAAAATTATTTTCATTGTTTCATTTACAATTTATATTATTGAAGGGCTAGATGAAGATGTACCTCGACCAATGGATTGCTTTAATTTTGTATGTCATGCTCCTTCCGATTTATATAAATGTAGAATTTTACATCCTCCATATCTTAAAAGTCAAGCTAATTTAAGTAATCTATTTGAAGCTGCTGTATTTATTGGTGATTTATCTAATGGTTTACACAAAGAACCTGAAAAAAAAATTGAAACATTACTGGATAATCTTACAAATGAAGATACATAAATAAAAAATATGCTAAAAAAGGTTTTTAGTTATAATAATTTATTTTTTATCTAAAATAATGAAAAATGATGGTAAAATATAAAAACTTTTTGTCAAGTTCAAGGTGCAAGTGTTCAGCAATGCCTTCAATTCTTTAGTGTGTTTCGTTGCGTTCAATTGTCTATTAGTGATCAGTAATGTGATACAAAAATAAAGCAGGAAAAACAAAAAAACAAAAAAAAAGAGACTTCAACATAATTCAATACATCCTTACCCAAAAATTCAGAAAAACACGAATGTGGAGATGATGTGGATGAATGCAAAGAAACGCTACCTTAAATAAACATTAATCTGTTATAAAAAGTTAAAACAGCACATGTGATAAAATAAAAATATTTTGAAAAATTTATTCAAAATTTCTATATTTTAAATTTAAAGTAAAATTCATTTAATGAAAAATCAACATGTGATTCTAATATTTACAATATAACATTTTTCTATGTTATAATTAGTTTAAAATAAAAATTAAATTTTAATATATTTTTATTTTTTGCAATATGAAATCTTTATACTTACGTTTTATAAAACCACGTAAAAACATGTTTTATAAAACCACGTAAAAACATGTTTTATAAAACCACGTAAAAACATGTTTTATAAAACCACGTAAAAACATGTTTTATAAAACCACGTAAAAACATGTTTTATAAAACCACGTAAAAACATGTTTTCTTTTTTTGCATAATAAGTAATAGTTTTTTAAATCTTTGTATATGCATCTATTTATTAAATTTTGGTTGTAATAGCATAGTATAGTGTATGTATAATATATTATAATTATGTATGTTACATTATAGTAAAATATATTTAAAAAAGTATTTAAAAAACTTTGTATGTATATTATAGTGAAATAAAAATAAAATTTAAAACAGCTGTTTCCTTTCTTAATTGTGATTAGTAAAGATATTGTTTTATTATGTTAAAACTTGTTAAATTGTTTGTTTGTACTTTTTAATATTTTTATTTCTTGATTTAAAATACATAGCTAAGTGCAGACAGACACTTTAATTTGTATCAAAGACCTATTTTTTTATTTATTTAACCTTTGCTAATTATTTTTTTATTGTTCTTAAATATTTTACACACTTTAAGTTTTAAAATGCTGTCTTAAATTCATTTTTTTTCAGAAAAAAAATAAAAGATATAGTGAAGGAACAAAAATATTATTTTAAAATAGTGAAGGAACAAAAGTTTTATTTTGAATATATATACATATGTATGTATGTATGTATGTATGTATGTATGTATGTATGTATGTATGTATGTATGTATGTATGTATGTATGTATGTATGTATGTATGTATGTATGTATGTATGTATGTATGTATGTATGTATCAACCCTCGGAATTAGGTTCGGCATTCGGCAATGTGGACCTAACTGCTGACCTGAAAGTGCTTGAAGTCGGCAAAAAATTGCTGACCTCGTTTCTATGTTTTATGGTCAGACCTTTGTATCAAATAATTTTTGCCGACCTGATGCTGACCTCAAAAAGATTGAGGTCGGAATATTATTGCCGACCTCATTTTTCCTAATTCTGAGGGTTGATGTATGTATGTATGTATGTATGTATGTATGTATGTATGTATGTATGTATGTATGTATGTATGTATGTATGTATGTATGTATGTATGTATGCATGCATGTATGTATGCGTATGTATGTACGAAAGTGCTTTCAATAAGAAAACTTGGTAGTGGACTTGAGTTGCTACCAAAAAATCTAAAGCACTACTTCGGTACCTTTTAAATTAAAAGTAACATTTAAAGTTGTTTGAGTTACAGACTTTAATGAAAATTACGAGGAAAAAAATTAAATTTTTTAAAATACCAAAATTTTTCTGTGATATCAAAATAATCTCAGATGTGTGAAAAAGCGACATAGGTGCTTTACATAAAATGTCTGCTTCTAAATCAATGTATTATTTATATTAAGCATACATATGCGTTAATCTAGACTTTTTTTATCATTGAGATTGTCTTTATCTAAAGTTGAATAACAACTTTTAAAAGTTTCACAAAAACAGCTATTTTCTAAAAATGACAAATAACAAACAATGTATGTATTTAATGTTGAAATTTCTCCCTGTATGATAATGTATGATAATGCTCATTCTTATTAGTTTTTGCTTTCAGTTTTTTTTTGTTTAAAGGTTTTTTTAGTTGTAGTTTTATTTCTCAATTTCAAAGTTTCAAGTGTCAAGGAGTTAAAAAAATTCCAAATGGGAAGTTCTTTGCAGGCGTCATGTTCTACCTGCATTCGGAGTTTATAAACAAGAGAGTGTGTAAAAGCAATATATTTCAAAAACTGTTAACAGATAACTGTTTCTTGTTCCAGAAAATATTTTTCTAAATTAAAAGTGTTGCATTCGGAGTTTATAAACAAGAGAGTGTGTAAAAGCAATTTATTTCAAAAACTGTTAACAGATAACTGTTTCTTGTTCCAGAAAATATTTTGCTAAATTAAAAGTGTTGTAGTCCATTGAAATTCGGTATTTTAACTAGATTTTTTTAACCTCAGGTTAATGCAACAATTACAGGCAATGGTTCAAACTGTGCCACTGCCTTTAATCAGTTTGGTTTAATCAAGTAGAAAAAACAGAGAAAAGGCGGGTACTGAACCAAACTTCTTTTTGGAGAAAGTTTTTCAAGAAATTTGCAATGATGATATCATTCTACCAAAGCACTGTTGTTGTGCAACTCAGACAGTGAACTTGCTGGCTTGTAAGAGCACCTTGATATTGCTATGTTTGAATTTGATTCTCTATTGCTTTTAAAGCTAGCTGCAAAGGCTTATAGAATGTGGAATGCCTAAAATAGGAGAGCTGTGGTGGAAACTGATATCAAGGCAGCCCTGAGGTTAATGTGTTAAAATACCTATCAATCAAAGAACATTTTTTTTTTCCTATAAGGTTTTTATAATTTTAAATCTAAATTTTCTAAGGTTTACTTTGAGCAGTGTTTCCATTCTTGAATTCCTATTGCAAGCTGTCAGTTTTCAGCTGCATATGCCATGAGTATGGCAGCCATGCCACAGTTAGAGTTCTGGCTCAGAACCAAGAGATCCAATGTTTGACACAGGCTCTAGCTTAATAAGTGACATCAGTAAGATAGGAGGCATGAACTTCCTAGTAAAATACTCTTGAACACCTTAATAACCACACAAAAAAAAAAAAAAAAAAAAAAAAAAACAGCACAGATAAACTTTTTGCATGTAATCAAAACCAAAAAATAAGATTTTGTGTCAGAATCCAACAAAACTCACCAAGCAAATGCTGGCAACATTGATGTAAGTTACAATCTACTCATAAAAGATTAGCAATCCTAAGTAAATTTAAACTTAGTGTAAAACACTAAAAGAGTGTAAAACAATTAAAACACTGCAGCTATGGTGCAGTGGTTAGAGTTCTGGTGCAGAATCAAGAGGTCTGAAGTTCAACACTTTAGCCCAAAAAACAACGTTGGTAAGGAAGAAGGCATGAACTTCCTAGTTGTTTAAATGCTCTTTCGCTGTGTGCTGTAATAAGGGGGTAAAGTAAGGTGGTAGGTAAGGGGGTATGAACTTCTGCAAGCACCTTAATAACCACACACACACACACAAAAAAATTAAAGTGTTGCTTTACATTATCCCATATGGATATGAAAAACTCAATGTCGGAAAAAATTACAGTAAGTTTTTTCTTTAGCTTTTCTTTAATTTTTTTTTGGTATAATTATTATATATATATATATATATATATATATATATATATATATATATATATATATATATATATATATATATATATATATATATATATATATATATATATATATATATATAACATTATATATATATAACATTCAAATGTTTGGAGTTTGCTCCATATCAGGAAGTTAGCTCAAATACAAAAAAATGCTGAATCATTGAAAAAGATATAAAGATTTTTACTAGACTAAATCAACTTTTAGTCGCTTATTAAGAAATTCTTAGACAATTAAATCAACTGTTTGATTTTTCTAAGTCAACTAATTTCAACTTTCGACTAGTCAACCTTTAGTTGATTTTGTCGAAGTCAATAGCAACATTAGTTTTACCAGACTTTTAAAAAATTTAACCACAAACTATACATTTTGGATTTTGACAAGTTTAGATAAGAATTTAATGTAAAACGAGTACAAATTAATTTCGTTTATGTTTTACTAAGAAAAATAAAAATAAAATACTATAAACTGAAATATATATATTTTAAATATAACACAATTAACAAATTTAGTTTATCACTATAAATGTTTTTAGGTTTGGTTATTTAAAAATTATTGCATAAAGAACACAATTCACAAATAAAGTTGTAAGCCTGGTGTGCATTCTTCATGAGCCTATTTTTGGCAAACCTGACATTGAATCCACTGTTCTCTTGATCGGCTGTTGGAAAATGATTCAAAACAATAGATGCACAGATACTCTTCATCTTCAGATGAATTTAAGACTATAGAAGGTTTTTTCGTAGCAAGATTTGATTTTATTAATTCTTTTTTACTTCCATTAGTAAATTTTTTTTATTAGTTTTCTTCTTTTTATAATTAGCAAGCCATGCTTTGACAGGCGTGTTAGTAAGAATCATAGTTGACCGCTTTTTCCTACCTCTTTTTGATGCTAACCTCTGGCCTGTTAGGCATAGGCCTAATACTCTCAGGTGGTATGATTGAGTTGTTAAAACCTAATGTTGTGATTGGGTTCTGATTAGAGGTTATATTTGATACAACTGGATCTTCTATTGTTATGTCTACCTGATTATCTGGTATCTGAATAGATTCTTTAAATCTTTTATTTGATGGTTCTGGTTGCATTGAATAAGATTCACAGTCTTTTTTATTTGAATCAGCCTGTGAACAAGGTGGGTCAGGGCGATCAGTTACATAGTTAGGGCAGTAATCATTTTCAGTAAACACATCAAGATTTAACGGGTAAATACCTGTTGCAGAAAAACCACTTAAAATATTGTGGGGAGATACAGCTTTTGGAAATGCAATGTTTACTATTTTTGGAATATCATATATTGTAACAGTTTTTCCAGGATTCATTACTAACCATGATGTCATAGCAGTATTTATGTAGTTTTTGAGAGGATCATAAACTGCCTTATCCAAGGGCTGCAACTTATGTGTGCAATGTGGTGGGAAGGTAAGCATTACTATTCCATTATTTTTTGCCAAATCTAATCCTTCAATACTAAGATGAGTTTCGTGATTGTCAAGCAACAATAAACAAGGCTTTTCTTTAGTACATTTTGTATTGCCTACAAAATGTTTTAGATATTTTACAAAGTTTTCTCCTTTCATCCAACCACTTGGATTTGCATCTCCTGCACTTCCTGTTTGTGCACTGATTAGGAAATGATCTTTAAATTTTTTACAAGGAAAAATAAAAAAGGGTGGAATACTATTTCCAATAGTATTTATTGTGCATGCTAATGTTACAAGAGTTCCTCTTTCAGCTGACGTGATGGCTCCTACTTGTTTTAATCCTTTTTTCGCAGTAACCTTTTTAGGTTGCTGTACAGTAGTTACAGCAGTTTCGTCCATGTTCCAAATGTCATTTGGTGAGAACGAGTATTTTTGCATACAGTGCTGCAAATTGCTAAAAAATGATGCAACATTCTGCTTATTGAAACTTGTCGCTCGACTTAAACTAGTAGTTTCAGGTTGCCTAATGGAAATATTTGAATGGCGCTTTATAAATCCTGTAAACCAATCCTTACCAGCTTGTTCCTTTACAACCCAAGAATTGGGAACCTTCATATTATTTTTAATTGCTAGCTGGAAAGCAAGCTTATTTACTTCGGTAGGAGTTAAACCAAAATATATATCTGCTGCTCGCAACAGGTAGGTGACCAGTTCTTTTTCTACTTTTTCTGGCAATATCAATCAACTTTTGTATCCTATAACATTCAGGGAGGTGGGGTTTTCAATTTTGTTAATTAGATCTGCTATAGAACCATGTGATGGGTTAGTAATAATAATTTTTTTACAATAACGTGCTAATGTTCAGTAATTAATGCCATGGTTTTTTGCTGCTGATCTAATAGAAATGTTATTAATCTTTACATCTTTAACAGCACACATTATGACATCTCCAGAAGTATAACCTCTATTAGTTTTTCTTTTAAAATTTCGTACCATGTTTATTACTAAGCAAATAAAAATATTTGCAAATAATGTAAACAAAACATTAATATATATATATATATATATATATATATATATATATATATATAAACCCACTAAATATAAACAATGCACAAACAAAACAACAGACAGTTTTACAAACTAAACAACAGCTAGTTGTTTAGTTTGTAAACAAAACAATAAACAGTTGAACTTCTGCAATCCTTTTTCTATAATTATACTAAACATTGGATCGGAACCTAAAGTTATGCACGTTGAAATAAAAATAATTTAGATTACAGATATTTAGTTAAACAAATATAACACTTTGACTTTAGATTTTTAAATAATATCTTAAACATTAAAATATTCCTCAATAATGCGGAAAATAAACAAAGCCACTAAATATTCTAAGCGGCGTTTAATTTGCAGCGCATGGAGTCGAGGCAAGTGTGACAACCATCCCCATATATTTTGTGACAAGCAACCCCTTCTGAGTAAGTTGCTGGACACCTGTACATATACCTAAAAGCGTGAGAATTTCATGATAATTTTTTACGGATTAAGTTACTCAAATGAATAAAGTACTTTATAAATCTACATTCAAAACACATTAAAATAATTTTCGTTTGGTAAAAGAAAATTTCTAAGTAGGCAAAATTTTACTTTTTCATATCAAAAACCTATAAAAACAAATAACTTTTCTTCTGCACGCTAAAAAAAGACAAAAATTACTGTAAAAATGTTTTTTTTATATAACATTTCCATTGTATAATTTGAAATTTCTATATCTTATTTACATTTCCTGTAATAAACTTTGTGACAACCAACCTGCGTGGCAACCAACCCCGCTCTCCCCTATATATATATATATATATATATATATATATATATATATATATATATATATATATATATATATATATATATATATATATATATATATATATATATGTTTAAGGTTGGCCAAAAATTGCTGACCTTGTTTTTATGTTTTATGGTAAAATCTTTTTATTCAATTTTTTTGCAGACCTGATGCCCACCTCTAACAGATTAAGGTCTGCAAGTTGTTGCCTACCTCATTTTTCTTAATTCTGCGAGCTGTATATATATATTTATAAATGTTATATATATACACACAAAAAAAACTTTTGTTTTCTTCACTATTTGTTTGTGTTTATATGTTTGTGTGTGTATTAATTTTACTGAATGCTGATTCAAGTCGGAAATCATTTTTCTGTAATAAAGTATACATATATTAATACTATTTTCATAACAAGCCAATAAGGTATGTTGTCAAAATTAATACGAAAGAAAAACATTTTAAGACAGCATGTAAGTCGTCTGTATTATCGCTATGGTACATTTTGTTCGCAACATCCCATTCTTCTATTGGGCTTCAGTATTAGTGTTGTTGTTGTATGCAGGTTAGTTTGATTTTTTAAATTTATTTTTTAAAAGTTGATGATTTTAATTTTTATATTGTTTTTTAGTTTGCCACTTACAAGTTTCCCTTTATTCGAAAAGATTCTGGCATTCTTATTTCAAAGAGTTATAGTTAATTACAAAACACACATAACTCCAATCTCTCAAAATCTATCTGAGTTTTTTGAAGACAAATCTGTAAGTTAACATGTCTACCAAATTTACTTTTGTGCCAACATGTCTACCAAGTTTACTTTTATAGCAAAAAAAATATATTTGTCAGAGTATTGTTTATATTAAAAGATTTTCGATTAAAAATTTTGGGGGTTAAAAAAATTTAGTACAAAATCTAAATGTGTTATTTTCTTTGTTATTGAAAATAAAAGTTTATCTACTTTTATTAATCTCTACTTTTTTAATTTTTTAAAATTAATTTAAGGTTAAAATATTTCATAAATTTAATCTAAGTCCTAATTTATATAATATCTTATTGCACAAGTTCTCATTCCATGACCTATCAGAAAAAAAAGTTAGTTCACTTTAATTCAATTTAAAGCATTTTTATTAAAATATTTTTTTAATGCAGTTATAAGTGCAAATGATAGTTTTCTATTTATCTAATCGTTTGTTTAAATATTTTTTTTCTTTATACCTTTAAATGTCAGCTTTATTTAAAAGTAAATTTTTATTTTGCTTTGATAAAATAATTTTGTTTATTAAACATGTTTGTTATGTACTTAAAAAAAAAAGCATCTTAAGTTATATTAAGTCACAATTATTTGAAATCACTGTCTGTTCTTTGCTTTGCATTAGTTTAAAAAAGTTTTTACAAAAATCATTCATATTTTCTATAAAATGTTATTTTCACACCACATTTTAAGAACTTTAAGAAAATTAAAGTTAATTTGAGATTTTTTAATTTGTTTTAATTTAATATATAAAAAAAAGTTACATTACTTTCACTTTAAATAAAAGTTTAAAATTAACAACAATAAAAGTATATATTTACAGATATTCCAACCTACAAATTAATCAATTAATTAAAAAGAGGTTGTGTAATGCAGTGATGTGGTGTGAAATTAAATCATATGTTTAATTTAATTTGTGTTATCACTGGTTTTTATTTTATTACCTTTTTTTTTGTTATTAAGTAAATTAAATTATAGCATGGTTATTTTTCTATTACGCAAATGACATTTTCCATATTTGAATTAGAGTTCCTTTTTTTTGCTCAATTTGATTTTTAATGGAGTGAAGTGGAGATTTCTAATGGAGTGGAGTGAAGATTTTAATGGAGTGGAGTGTTGCTGGGTGAAATTTACAGGTTTTTTGTTGGGTGAACTCTGCATGGCCTTTGTCAAGTAAACCTTCTGTGGCTTTTGTCTGCAGATGTGTTAAATGTGTTTGTAGATGTGTTTTAATATTTCCATTTGATTAATTTTTTTTTTTTTTAAGTTCATCTTTATTTAATTTAAATTACTAGAATATCTTTAAAATTTTTATTTATAAATGAATAAAAAAAACTACTTTGTAATTTTAACTTGTGACATCCTCAAGCCCTCATAGTACCTGGTTTTTTATTCACAACAATGTTTCTTCAATTTTTAAGGGCATTAATCTAATATATATATTTTGTAATATTTCAAATAATGCACCACACCACCACACCTGTAGACATCAACAGCCTCTAAAATCAATATATCAAATATTTGTTCTTTGTAATTTTACTATTGTAATATTTCAAATAGATAACTTAAAAAATGTATTGTTATTGTGTGTCGATTTTCCTAATTGTGAAATGCTAAATTAACTGTAATTACTAATTTTATCTTTATCAAAAAGGTAACAAGTTTTAATTTATTACAAAAATTATGTTATATCAAGTCATAAATGTTTAAACTACCTATTATTTCACTTATTTGTGGAATATATGAGTTTACCAATTTACAACAGAAAACTATAAGAAACTTATCACAACAGAAAAACTATAAAAAATCCTATGTGATACTTTTTCTTTTACAAAAGCTATTGAAAATTTAGAAAATGCAATTTGTTTAGAAGCCTAAAGTATTGCTTAAAAAATTAATCTAGAATATAGAATTGAATTGGCTGTTCTTGCAAAAGCTTTTCTAATACTAAAATTTGGTAAACCAAATTTTCAAAACAAGCTTCCTTATGGGTTAACAGTTCATGTAAGCAAAATAAATTTGTTTATAATATTCTTAGACAAAAAACTGTAATTTATTCTATTAGAACTTTATGATTTTCACCCAAATTAATGACTGACATTTTTTAATGGTTAAATGAATTAATGGCTGACATTTTAGAAAAAACAATTATGTTTCCAAAAATTCGTACAGATAATCCATTAGATAATCCATTAGAGGCAATTTGTGTATAAAGTATTGAAAAAATAGAAAATTTTTATTTTAATAAGGAAACATAAGGATAAAAAGGGAGAAAAAACAGGTCTGTATATATATATATATATATATATATATATATATATATATATATATATATATATATATATATATATATATATTGACAAATCTAAATCAAACAAACAAGATTTGAAAATATAATCTATAATTTCTTTTGGAAATCCTTTTTAATAAAAAGTTCAGTTATTTTTTAACGGATTTAAATATTTAATCCGTTGAATTAACAAAATTTCCAAAAATTCATTATATTTAATTTTACTCCATTAATTTTGTAATTTTTGGTTACAAGTTACTTTGTTAGTTTAACAGAAAAAACCAATCCTTTGCTTTTTCTAACGAATTGTTTTTAGAGTGTGTGGATTATTTGATAATTTGATCTACCACATGACTTAAAAAAAGCAATGATTTTTTGTTTTGTTTTAGAACTTTGCATATGTTCAACAAATAATCTTCAAAGTCAATTTGATAGGGAAATTGAATTTAACAAATGATCAGCTTATCGAAAGTACTTTACATTTACCGTTATTACAGGAGTTGGATGAGCAACTTAGGTACTTTCTGTTAGCCTTTTTTTTTTTATAAATTTCAATTTTATTTTCAAAATTAGTAAAAGAGTTCATTCAACATATTTTGTGAAGCGTTTTTTTATTAAAAATACAGATTATTTTAATTTATTTTGAAACTTTCAAAACTTTTAATAAATATTTGCTGGTGATTTTCTTCATTTAAGTTAATATTTTTTGCATTTAAAGTTTGATATTTAAAGCATTTAAACAATAATTATGTGTGTATTCATATGAATGATTTACACTTTAAGTTTTACAGTAAAACCAAATTAAAAAAAAAAATTTTTATAACAAAATTTTAAAAAATTACAAACGCTATTGTGTACCTGGCTTGCTTGCTTGATGTTATTATTGTGCTTATAATAGCCTGATTAAAAATGTGCCAGCAACAAGTTAGCAGCACTAATAAAAATGACTGCAAGATTTTGCTGATGAAGATCATCAAATGGCTAAAAATATTAAACATTAAAAAATAGTACAAACTCCAGTTAGGTAAAAAAAAAAAAAAATTATATATAATAAAGTCTTTTTTACAAGTTTTGCAAAAAATAATCATAAAAAAATTAATTAATAAAAATAATAAAATAGTATTTAATTTTGTAGACATTAATATTGCATACTAATACTAATAATATTAAAATGAAAAATACAATGTCTAATATTACATATTAGACATTAGATTACATATCATTTCTTTTTTTCAGGAAGTTTAACATTATTGAAATAATTTTGAAAATGTAAAGATAAAATCCTTACAGATTGCTTTAAGTTTTGTTTTAACAAATTTAACTATTTTTAAAATGTTAATTTAAAGATTGTGACAAAGTAAAGTTTATGTTGTTCAAGTTACTTTATTAATTTTTGTAAAGATTTAAGATATTGCGTGAACTGAAATGAAAAAAAGTTAAACAAAATTTGAAAAAAAATAGACTTTGATAGACTTTTTAGTTTTTTTCTTTTTAATCAAACGTTAATGCTTGGTTAAAAATTTTAAAACCATGCAGCGTTTTGCTTTTTTTTCAACTTATTTATTGCATATATAATTTACATATTATTTTGGATTGTTAGTGATGCATACCAAATATTTATACTACATATTATGATGTTTTTAAGTGACACCCTAGTTTATATAAGGTGCCATTTAAATATATAGGTTTGTTTTTTAATTTCTTTTGCAAAAATCATTTCAAATAATTTTTATCTAAAAGTTTTACAAAAAGCAACAGTAACTTTAAAAATTTTTTTTGTCAAAATTATAAAAATTAATATCCTAAAATAAATTGACAATTATAATTTTAAAATGTTATCTGAGAAAGATTAAATTTATCTGATTAAAAAAAAAAAAATGAGATTAAAATAAAAAAGTATTTTTTGTTTTTATTCTTTATAGAAATCCATCATCAAATGACGATTGGATTGGTTCATGTTTAAAACTTGTCAGAGATCCACCATCAATGATGTCAATAAGAAAAAGAATAACATTTTCTTATGGACGATTTCACAATGATCTCAAAAATAAAAAATTTTTTAATATGAAATGTTTATTTATATCTCCTATTTTAGCCATTAATAGGTATTAAATTTTATTATAGATTATTACTATTTTTGCTTTTGTTAATATATACTAAAAATTTAGTTAACAGTTTATGGCAGGGCTTGAAATAATGAACTATTTTGTACCGGATAATTTGTCTAATAAATACTGAATTTTGTCAGGCATGTCCAATAAAAATTAAAGAAGAGCGATCGAACACCATTCCTGACCATGCATAAAATATTTTGTTTTTCAACTTGACCACGCAGTTTGTAAGATTAAACTAAAATTTGAAAAGGAAAATATATTTATATTGGCTTTTTTAAAAATTACTATACTTGCAAAATGCTTTGTAAATTGTTAAATACATAAATTATTATGTAAATATATTAAATACATAAATTATGTAATTATTAAATACATAATTATATATAAAATAAAAATGTATAATAAAAATACAAAATATTAAATATATAAATTACTATGTAAATATGTCAAATACATAAATTATTAAGTTTACTTATCACTTAATTAAATAAAGTAACAAATAAATTATAACGTTTACAATAAACTAATTTTATTTAAATTATCAAAGAATATTATAAGTAATTACATTTATATAAATATGTATTTTTTTATAAATCTTTTCAATCTTTTTCGAGGATTTTATAAACACTTTTAATAGTGAAAATTTTTAGCGCGAAAAAAAACATAACAACTACATAACAACTCAAATTTAATAGTATAACAAAAAGTACTGGTTTCTATAAGCATTAAAATAACTATTACATTAAAATTTTAATAAAATAAATTTAAAAGGGGTTTTAAAAGCTAAAATATTTGTTTATATATTTATAAACATATATATCTATGTATATTATATATATATATATATATATATATATATATATATATATATATATATATATATATATATATATATATATATATATATATATATATATATATATATATATATATATATATGATATATATATATATATATATATATATATATATATATATTTATATATATATATATTTATATATATTTATATATATATATATATATTTATATATATATATATTTATATATATATATATATATATATATATATATATATATATATATATATGTATATATATATATATATATATATATATATATATATATATATATATATATATATATATATATATATATATATATATATATATATATATATTTGTACATTACACATTTAAATTGACAACACTGGGAATTTACAAAAAAAAATTTTTTTTTTTTTTCAAATTATATTTTTTTATGTTATTATTTATTTATGTTTTTTTTCTTGCTTTTTTTTTAATATCATTTTTCTCTGTCTACTTTTAAAACTTTTAACATCATCTTTACGTACAGTGGCATTGATTATCTTCTGCTTATTGTTAAAAAAGACATTAATTATAATTTTAGAAGCAAATTTAAACCCCCATTCTTTGTGTAAATCGCAAGTAAAGCAAACTGTTGGACAGTATTTTAATAAAACAAAGCTTGATGCATCTTTGACATTCGCACCTTGTTTAGTTATTAAATTTGAAAGATTATCTAAGACTGCAAAACATCCACATGTGAAATCCTTAAGTGAAAGTGAAGGCACAGTAAGACCACCTCGTGAAAGTATTTGTAGATATGGGCAAATATTTATATTTCTTGCATCTATAGCAAGCATAGACTTACAATCTATACATCTGGTTCTTTTTATTAATTTCTTTCCTATGTAACCAGCAATTGTTGTTGTTGTTCTGTTTCAGGTGATAGAGTTAATTCTGATATCTCATTTGTGTTTAAATCTAATGTTATTAGTAATTCATCATTAATTGGGTTATCATATTTGTTCTTTAAATCTTCATCCCAAATATTTACATTCTCCTTAATTAAAGTCCGACATACTAAAATTCTTTCTGAATGTTGAACTTTTAGTAAACTTACTAGAAATCTGTCACCACTCATCTGTCGATATTGAGAAAATCTATGCTCTATAGGATCACTTTGAAATCGTGAAGTAAGCACATACAAATATCCTTTTTCAATAAGCTTGCCTATAAGCATTGTTTGAGAATACAGAGTTGTGATAAGAACAGATGATGTTTGTTTTGATAAAGTAAAAAATGGAGATTTCTGCCAAAGATCAATCCAATCAGCTAGTTGCCTAAAAAATGTGGTTTTACCATCATCAAAAATAATTGCATTACCAAGTTTATAAGGACTAAATTGTTGTTTTGAATTTGAAACAGTCCACCATTTTTAAAAAAACCAGAAATGTCATTTCGTTCTGAAAAATAACCTTAAAAACTTGCAATTGTTGTTTCATCGAAAATCGACAGTGCAAGAGAAACATTTTGCTTTTTATTACCAGGGTGATGACTTCGATATGTAGTTTTTAGAGCTTTTTTTAAATTACCTTGAAGTTGTTCATCTTTAGATGAAAATCTCCCAAAGTTATATAATCAGCTGGACAATTATAGACATCATTTTTTAGATTATAAGTAAATGATGGAAAGACAAATTTTTTGCAGTTTAATAATTTATTTCTGATATTTTTAACAACATGAACACTATTGTAAAATTAGTATATTTTAATATTTGGTCTATCAGGATGATAAATAAATAAATTTGACTGATTACCAAATTTGGAATGTAGTCAACTAAATGCATTTACATTTGTTTGATGATTTTCAGTAACAACTCCTCGAATTTTAAAACCAGGTAAAGAAAGAGAACTAATAGAATCTGATATTTGCTCTAAAAGCCATTTACCACTAATGGTAACTTTGGGTAATGCTTTTATAACATAAGGAATAGATTTCTTTAGACTAACCATCATAAATGCAACAACTCTTTTGTACAGAGTACCATTGTCATCTGCAACCACATAGACACTACTACAATATCGCACCTGTTTCTAAAGATAAAATTCATCTACAATTAGTATTATATTTTCATGTATTGAACCTCTCTCACGAAGTGTTTTAACAGCCTTTATTGTATCAACTCCACCTTGTTTTTTTTTAATTTAATAAAGAAATTGAAGGTAATGGAAATAATTCAAGTAAAATTTCATATGCTTGTTTATATGTATATCTTAATAATAAACCATGTCTGATTATATCTGCAGAATATTGTGGTTGACCCTTTGCTTTATAGTATATTCTACTATTTATTTCTTCAAGAAGTATATTTCTATTAGAAGAAGCTATGTTTTTTATGTAGTATGTAATATTTTCTAGCATACTCAAACTAGTTAACTTGCCATTATGACCTTTAGTTAACCATGGAGGAAGTGGAACATTATTTCTTTTGTATTGCAAAGCTAACCTTTCTAATGCATTTTCCTTCTGTTCTTAAATAAATAAAAATTGATCTAACAATGATCAATTTTTCTTGATTTAAGAACAGAAGGAAAATGCGTTAAAGGATCAAATATTAAATTGTAATAAATAACACAATTGAGATGTTTTTTTAGTTGAAAACCTTCTGGTGAATGTTTACTGTTTAACTTGTTTCATTTAGTTATTTTATCATTTTCAGAAGAAAAAAGCAAAGTTCATCTTCTTGATAAATAAGAGTTTTGAGGTGGTCACACTTCCACACTACCATCACTTATTGCTTAAAGCAATAGGTGATGGTAGTGTGGAAGGCATTAAGCATTAAGCATTCGCTTGAGAAAATTAAAGGAATAGAGATTAAACTCCAATTTAACTTGCATTTTATACCTCGAATAATGTATATAATAACTATTGTTTTAACTATATGCTTTGGAAGTAACTCAAGGACTATAACAAGATCACTTTAACTTGTTGGAGGAGGTTCAGTGTACATATTTCTATTACCGTGATTTTATGGATCAAGAGCGTATGCAAATCCATAGTGGATAGTGTATGAACAAGTTCTCATCAGTGTAAACCAAGAAATTTCAATATTGAGTTTTCACCCCATATTTGCATTAAATTAATAAATCCTAAATAAACATTAGAAAGTAAACAAGTATCTGATTCCAGTTTACCTACTAGATTTGATAATGGTTTCATAACATTAACAAAACCTTGACAATCTTCATAAATAAACTTATCCTGCATAACAAATGTTCTAATTTTTGTGTGGATATACACAAAAAAGCACCTGAGTTTACTAAATTCAAATGGACAAGTTTGTATTCAAGATTATGGGCAACTAGTGTATCAATACAATCTTTTGAATTATATGAAGTTGATCAACAAGAGATGTTCTTTCCTTAACAAACGCTGTCACTTTTCTAAAATATCCACAAATTCAGGAAAAAGGCAAATATCTTTTACTAAAAAATTGTATGAGCAGCACAACCATGAGAAATGCAGCTCCCATGCAGCTCTCATATTTGAGGCAACTTTATCAAGACCAACCTCAAGAACTACATTTTCTATGCAAGTTGCAATATTAATGCCAGTCTGTTGCTCTTAACTAGTTTGCTTAATTTTGTAAGCAATTGGTTTCATTGTCCTATTTCTAACATAAATTGAATAATTAATAAAATGATTTGCATTAATTTTTTAATTGAATAATTTTAATGTTTAAAAATCAATCAGTCACTATAATTAAATATACAGAACTGTCAATATAATCTTTTATTGCGTTTTTCACCATTTAATGCATCTTTAGCCCCCACTAATGCATTCATTAGATGGAGGTGTATATGCAGATCTAAGATTTGCATGATGTCGCTTCCAAGCAGAAGAATCAGCTAATGTGAAAGGTACTGCTGTACGGAAAATCACCCTTGAATACAATTTATCAATTTTTTTGATGTCAACTTTATAGTGTCAAAGTATAAATTTAGCATAGTTCTTTTAGCAGCTTTTAACAAACACCTGTATGTACTAAATTCACACATTTTTTTAAAAAAAAAAATGCAAGGTTTATTTTTAATGGCATGTTCAGTTTTTATAATAATAGTAATAGTATTTATAAATTTAATATTAAAAACAACTTTTTTATGCAGTTGGTTAACAATTTAACATGTTGTATAACTTTATATAACATGTTAAAATCTTTTTTTATTATCATTATCATCAACTAAAAAGAAAAACAAAATAATAAATAACAAACATACTTTATATATTTAATTAAAAAAAATATATATAGAACTTTTATTGCTTTGTTATAGAACCTACAGTTTTTACATTATGTAAAACTTGCATGTTTTATAATGTGATTACATAAATGTGAAAATTGCAGAATTTATAACATGATGAATTAAAAACTTCTCGAAAAAATATTTTTTAATTATATGAAATAAAAAGGGAGAAATAAAAAAGAACATCGAAACTATGTTTCTATGGAAACTTACTGAACTATTATAGTAATTTGAATGAAATAACTTTTTAAAAAACAAAATTTTAATAAATTCCAATTTTTCTATATCAGTAATTTGTTATTTAATTAATTATTTAATTATTTAATTATTAGTTATTTTAATTATTTATTTATTTAATTATTAATTTGTTATTTAATTAATTTTTATATCAGTATTTGTTAAAAGTTAATGAAAAAGTGATTTTAAATTGTTTACTTTTGTATTTTCTGCTGTGGAACAGGCCTGGCTAACCATATCATTGATAAATGGAATTAAATGGTGATTTTTATACTATATTGGGTATTTATGCACAATTAGGGGCAAATTATATCCAATTTTAGAAGAAACAACGTTTTTTTTTTTAAAGTGAAAAGTAGTAAAAAAGTTTTTTAAGAAGAAAAAAAAAGATTTTTACTGCAAAACAGCATTTCAAGTTTAATGTTGCAATTTTTTTCTGATTTTAACTATAAAAAAAGACTTCTTACTCACAATTATAATTCTTTTAAATAAATATCAAACAACTGACTGTTCACATGATTTATAAAAGCTTTTTTATCCTGATACCAAGTTTTTCTAAAATTCAATAAATGAGTTTTTGAAAATATTTTGTGTAGACCTTAAACATTTAAAAACATCTGAGTTTGAAAAATTAGAACGAGTAATATCAAATTCAAATAAAAATACAATGTTAAAAATATTTTTGAACATATTTTTATTCTACGGGTAAAATGCGTAATTAAAGTGGGGAAATAGGTTTAGGGATGTAACTGATATCTATAAAATCTATAAATGATAATCTATAAAACTAATATCTACAATTATTAATAAGTTTTTTAACTTTTGCTTTTAAATGAGTAAATAAGTTTTTTATTGCTACATCTTGTTTTTATATACTACTTAGATACTTTGAAACTTATAATTATATACTTAAGCATTTTGTATAGTATAAAAAGGTTTTTTAAAATTTTTTAAAAACTGCAAGATAAAATACTTATGTTTTTGAATTTTTTATTTTTTAAGTTTAGTTTTTTGAATTTTGTGATAATCTTAGTTTGTATTTTTTTTTTACCCCTTTTTTTTAGATAAGTTTTTATTCAAATTTTTGAAACGCTTAAAAACATTGTTGTATTTATTGTTGTAAGTTTTATACAAAATTGTTTTAGCAACACTACAAACTTCAATGATCTTTCCACATCTTTTAAAGGTATTTATTTTGTTTAAAAATGTTGTTTCAAACTTTAAATTGTAAATCCAATTAATAATTTTTATTTTATTTCAGATGGTATAATTTTCTTTTTCTTGCATTAAATATTTAGACATTTTTACATTACACAAGCTAAGACTTACGGGACTACATGTGCACATTTGAGCATGCTTTCATTTTTCAAAATTAGCATTTATTGGTTGTCTAATAATTAAGAAAACTTATTTAAATTTCCACTCTTCATTATCATATGTTTATTTCAGTTCAAGAGAGCATTAGCTGTTTCCAAAAAAAAAAGACTTTTTACATAACAATAAGTAGAACTTTGAATGTTTAAATTTTATTATGTATTATAATAATGTTTCTATGCTAAGAAACATAAAAATGCCAGAATAATATATTCTTATTGTTTAATAAATAGTTATGTATATGGTTTAATGAACAGTTTAGTTATTTAAAACATACTTAAATCTCCTAACATTATTAATATCAAGAAAAAATAATATCAAAATGTATGGCTATAGAAGCAGTTTAAAGTTATTTTTTTAAACCAACATTCACAAAAACGCTTTACAATAGCAAAATATTTTCCATCAGGTTGTTCTTATAAATTAGTGTGATGATTAGGGTTTTTTTTAAAACAACAAGAATTAGTAAATTTGCTTGCTGTGTTAACTTATATTTCTTTGCTGTTACAGTTAATTTAATTGGTGGTGAAAATAAAAGTTTTTTTTGCAATTTTAGAATTGCTGTTTGGTCACCTAATAAATGAGAAAGAATGGGAAAAGAAAGAGAATATTTTTATTACTTTTACATTATTTTTTCAAAAAGAAAATTCTAGGTAATTATTTAAAGTATTATAAATTTTGAAAACTTTTATATGTGTGTTTGTGTGTGTGTGTCCTAAAATCATATTATATTACATAATTAAAATGCATATATATATACATATATATATATATATATATATATATATATATATATATATATATATATATATATATATATATATATATATATATATATATATATATATATACATATATATATATATATATATACACATATATATATATATATATATATATATATATATATATATATATATATATATATATATATATATATATATATATATATACATATATACATACATACATATATATTAGGTATGTACCAAAGCTTAGATTTTGCTGAGGCTTTGACCAAAGTCACTCAGCCGAAGCTTTTGCACTTACATAGCTAAAATTTGCTATCATTTAGGTTAAGCTATCTAGGGATAATACTAATTGTTGAAAAATAGTATGTTTATATATATATAGTACTGCAATTATATGTATTTTAATGCACAAAGTATTTCATTAACACCACAGTTTGTTTTTTTTTATATACGCTGTCATATATCTAGCTATGGCTTATTTGAACAAGTTTAATGTTATATGAAAAAAAATGACTAGATAATTAGTTATTATAAATTAGTAATTGATTCAGGTAATTAAGAGACTAGTTTGGCTTCGCGTAAACTTATTCAAGTCTAAAATTTAAAATTATTTTGTAAGCAATATTTAGTATACATTAATTTGTACTTTGAAGTATAATAAAATTACTATTTAATTACTTATTCAAATGTAATTATTTATGTAATTAGTAATGAATTATTGCTTTTATATAGCAATTTATAAGTTTATTATGTTTAAATTAATTATTTATTGCAAGAAATTAGGCAAATTATAATTAAAAAATGCAATCCAGGCAACAGCCTGTTTCTTTTGGCTTCAAATATGTTTCCCATTGTGCTGAACACGCATTCACTTTGAACAGATGAGAGAGATGCGCACAAAACTTTCATTGAGAACCTTTCGAAATCCCTTGTTAGTGTCTATCAGAGCAAGTATAATTACAGGCAGAAATGACCTGCCTGTATATAGTTTGTACCTGCTTGCAGTAATTTTTTCATAATATAAATACAGTATAATTGAATTTTATAGTTTTGCTTACATGCAATTCTGGTGTGCATACCTGTAAATAAATAAAATTTGAAAATTAGTTGATTTAAATATTAACATCAGTTTTTAATTAAATATGTAATAAATAAATAACAAAATAATAATAAATAACAATTTTATTTAGACATTTTTTATTCATACCATTTTCCTTTTAGAGTTTGAGTTTTTCCTCTTGGATTTGTACTCTTATTCCCCTCCATCAATGTTTTTACAATTTTGTGAAGCATTTTCATTAGTACCCATTTGGTCAAAAAAGCTGTTCATGCTCATTAGTTTTTTTTTTTTGATTTGACCAACATGATTAGAGTTAAACTTTTGAAGCTGAACCTCTAAAAATGAATTACATGATCCTTTTAAACTTTATCCACTGTCTCCTGCTTTAACAAAGTCAACTTCCTTTGTTTGTTGTTGTTGTAAATAATACTCTGAATGAAAGCTGTAGTACTCTTGATATAAAACTTTTTTAAACATATAATAATTTGTTTCTTTCACAAACTTAAATTTGAAACAGTGGTTGAGCATTGTTGCAATTTTCAGATGAACCTTATATTTGCATTTTTTAAAAACAACTTTTAAAGTCATTTTTAAGTTCTTCAACAGCAGTTTTGATTCCAGTTGCTTTGTCACTAGCATAGTTAAGAAACTTTTCCATGGCATAAATAAACAGTATGATCTCTGACGTACATCCATCTCTGCACTCAAATCTTTTGTAACGCTTTCAAAGTGTTTTAGTATGGATACAAGCATTTCAGCAAATTGCCATTGATTTTCTGTAGGATTTTATAAATTTGTTTAAGTTGTGGATATGCGATATAATGCAGTAGCTTTTTTCTTTTCACAGAACCTCTCAAACTTATAATATGTTAAGTTCCATCTTGTGAAGACATCTTGAATAAGGTTGAAAACAGCAATTGCATAATTTACTGCCTTATATTCTCTAAAGAACTTTTTCTGAATATAAAGTTGTAAATTATGTATGACACATGGCAGATTTTTATCCTCCAAATGTAACTCTTTAATTGCACATATAACATTGGCTGCATTATCAGTTAACAAAGCATAAATCTTATAATGAGGAATTTTCCAAGTTTGTAGCGCTTCAATAAAGAATTTGCTAATATTATGCTCAGTGTGAGACTCAGGGAAGTGTGCAACTTGTAAGATGAAGTGTCTAATTTTATACTCAGGTGTCAAAAATCTAGCAGTTAAACTTTAATATGACAGGATTGTGTGCTGGCATGTCCAACCATCACTAGTTAAACTAACAAAAAAAATTTTATCTAACTCATTCTTTACTTTTATTTTTATTGTTTCATACATCAGTGGAATAACTTTGGTTAAGAAATAAGCTTTTGACTAGGCAATGTATAGTTTGTGGTTAAATTTTTTAAAAGTCTGGTAAAACTAATGTTGCTATTGACTTCGACGAAATCAACTAAAGGTTGACTAGTCGAAAGTTGAAATTAGTTGACTTAGAAAAATCAAACAGTTGATTTAATTGTCTAAGAATTTCTTAATAAACGACTAAAAGTTGATTTAGTCTAGTAAAAATCTTTATATCTTTTTCAATGATTCAGCATTTTTTTGTATTTGAGCTAACTTCCTGATATGGAGCTTTGCAAAAAATTGCAATGATTGGAGGCTGGGAACAAAAAACCCTAAAATTACCCTCCCCCCTCTCACCCCTATTGTGAGGTCAACAAGTTTATCCCCCTATGTAATGTAACTCCCTCAAATGAAGGGGATTTAAAATTTATATGGTCATAATTTTTGGAGAGATAATACTATGAAACTTTATTGAAGAATATAGGTTTAGTTGAAAATAGTACAAAAAATATTTTATTAACTTGTTGCCCTCACATTTGGGGTAGAGGGGGAAAATTTATTTTGAAATTTAGGATGAAATTTTAAGGTTTTTTTGTACATTTTTAACACATTTAATTAGACTATTCATACTATTGATCATAATACAGATCATAATACATGACCTTAATGTAAAATCATATATAGATGCAGACATTTTATACCAACAGTATTATCTAATAGCAATTTAATGGTATCAGTACAATATTTATAAAATTAGTGGTCTTTGTTTGGTATTTACTAGACAAGGCTTATCTTGAATAAAACAACTTTTAATTATATTATAATAAAAAGTTGTTTCATGCTACAAACATTACCATCTTAAAAACAAGTGAAAGTTCTTTGAAGCAATACTAAAAGTTATCTTGTGTTTTTTAAATTAACTGTTGTAAATCAATTTTTGACTATGTATGCTGCTTTTCATTTGTGCAATTTCTAAATTTTTTTTCAAGGGCTGGAAATCAAATGTCCAACAAATTTAATTTAAAAAAAGATAAAAGTTTTTCAAAATGGTTTCAACTTCAATCATAACATGAATCAAGACCATCAAAATGAAAAAGCTGCTATTGACTTTCAATTTTATTTTAGCTGCATTAGCTACCTCATTAGCTTCTATTTAGTCTAAAGTGTTTTTTAGTTTTAGTTTTTAAAATAAAATGTCAATTATTAAAAAAAATTTAATCATGATCTAAGGTTGATTTAGGTAGTAATTTTAAATTTATGCGAACATCATTATTCATTAATTTCATAAATGTCATACAATTTAATGGTGATTCTATAAATTATGTGAATAATATTTACTATCTCTAGACTGATGCAATAAATTTTTTAAACATTACACAACAAATGATTCAATGTCAACCACTCCTTTACGGATTTTGTAGAAGGTTCTATTTTAAGTGGTATCAAATACAGCAGCATTTATTTTGAGAATACACTTTTGTTCTAGCCCAGACAGCTTACTGAAAAGTGAACATAGTTTGAGACACTTTAACACCTTTAGTAGCAAAATATGTCAGAGAAAACATTAAATCAAGAGCAACTTCTCTAACAATAAGAATAAAGCTAGAATAAAGATTATTATTACTCTAAGTTATTAATATTCTATTTATTTTATAAGGTAAATTATAAAACTGTTTTGAAAAATCTATCGTATAAGAATCGCAGCATAGTCAAATTTCATCATCTGTTTTATTGTTTATTACAATGGTTTCCTTTTTTATGCTTGTTTAAGTTATCAAGACCATTCTTTATGTCTTGTCAGAGTTATCAAAACCGTTAAAAAAAACTACTTTTTCAAAACCTTTATTTTTCAAAAAGATATTTTAAGTAACAACTAAGCAATAAGAATCAAGGTCATTGATGGCTTTGAAAAGTTTTAGATGTAGATCTCCAAGATAAACAAAGTTAATAAACACAGTAAAGTGGTTTTGTTTCATCAAGTGTTGGTGCTAAAATCTCTGATAATCATTTAAGTTGTTGTTTTGTCTTTAAAGAGTCTTTTATTATTCAAGTTTTCTTTTTTATTATTCAAGTTTTCTTTTTGCCTTTATGCGATCTTTTTTAGTTTATTAATTGCTTATCTTTTTTCTATTTTTTTTTCTTTTTCTTTTTTGCTGTTTTAATTTTTTTTTTTGTTGGTACTTTAACTTTTTATAAGCAGCTCATTCACTTTCTTATGTATGTAAATCTACACTTTTTCCAACTGTTTTTATTGCATAGGAGATATTGTATCAAGGTTGTAATAAAATTGTGTATTAAACATGGTTTAATACACTAATGATTTCTATTAAGTGCCCTTGTTAAACAAAAGTACCAACTTGTTAAACAAAAAAATATCAAACATATTTTTGAAAATACAAGTGCTTAAGAATTTTTAGATGAGTAAATAAAGTTTCGTTCAAGTCAAGTTTAACTTCCAAAAAGCAATCAGTTAAGACTGGTTATATAGGATTTTTATTTTTTATCTCATAATCTCAACATAAACTGGGTTAAGCTAAGCAGCTTAATCAGCAAATCGATTGCAATCATTTCTAAGGCTTGAAATTTATGAATAATTTATTAATATAATTGTCAACATTTTTGCCAAATCAGGTGTCAAATGTGATGTCAAGGTGTTTTTTAAAGCTGCCAAATCAAGTGTCAATATTTGATTTCAGAACAGTTTTTAAATAATGTTAAAATCTGATGAGAAACAAAAAGCGTGAATATTTTTTGGTTATTTTCAAAGGGTGTAACAACATAAAAAATGTTTCCCAGTTCTAATAAAAACTAACTAAATGTTTAAAACTATGTTTTGTCTCAAATACAATTATCCAAGTTGTTTTATATAAAAAAGTTAAAATCAGATTAATTTTTTTTAGTTTTTAAACTTTTTTGGACATCTTTAACAGTATTAATACATCACATTAACCACTTCAATACATAGCATAAATAAGATTTTTATATACTTATGCATAATATTCATTTTTTATATCTTCAATATTATATTTAAATATTAGTTTATATATCATTTAGATTTAAAGAACAACTTATATCAGGTTTTATGAAAAAAAATCTTACTGTTGAAAGTAATGGACATTTATGTAAGATAAATTATGAGGTAATATGATACTATATGTGATACTTTAATATTATTTTTTAGTTTCTCTTAAATGGCCTCATACTCTTTTCTTGTCTACATTATGTAATATGATACTATATGTGATACTTTAATATTATTTTTTAGTTTCTCTTAAATGGCCTCATACTCATTTCTTGTCTACATTACGTAATATGATACTATATGTGATACTTTAATATTATTTTTTAGTTTCTCTTAAATGGCCTCATACTCATTTCTTGTCTACATTACGTATATAATTCCCAGAAACATAATAATAAATGATAGTTATTTTGATTAAAAATATGATATATATCATTAAATTTTTTTTTTTGTAATTATGTTATAATTAAAATATAAATAAGAATATTTTTTATAAATAAAACTATAAAAATCATCATCATCATCATCATCATCATCATTTCTTGTCCACTGATAATCTCCTGCACAGATCCAGGGGATTATCAGTGAACAAAAGATTTCAGGACCAGGGACTGCCATAAAGAGAATACAGAAAAGAATTAATTTCAGCTTTAAAAAATCCAGTCAGTTTTATGATAGTAGTATGATGATAGGGTGAGTTTAACAAATGAAGTATGGGATAAAAGGTTTAGCAAGACCATTTCATGGTTCAAGCCAACTAAAGGAGAACAAGTAGAAAATGAACACAAGCTAGAGTCAGAGGGAAGATACAAATCTTAGTGTTGTCTAAAAAACAAGTTTCAGGTTGATTCGGCTAATCTTACTTGTGATGTACCTTTACCTTCTGAAGACCTAACAAACTCAAGGCTAATTTAAACTCCTTTATATTGGTGGGGGGACTTTGTTCGAAAAGAAATTGATTCTTGAGCTAACTGATGCATAAAAATTATTTATTTTGCAAAGGATGAAATGCTGCATTCTAATTTTATGTTTGCGACCACTAGTTGAAGAACATGGCCTGATTTAACACTTTAAGACTGGTTTGACATTACAATTGACTCTAAATGGTTCAGTATAAATGAATCAAATCTCCTCATTTTTTTATAATATTTAAAGTTGTTAAACCTATTTTAACTAGCCACTTTTTATAACTAAGCATTTGATTTGAGTGTGGTATTTTTGTGGCCCTGTGTTGAACTCTTTCAAGCATTGAAATTTCAACTAGATTTGGCGAACTCCATGCTGTAGCTAGCTAGATTTGGCGGACTCCATGCTGTAGCTAGCTAGATTTGGCGGACTCCATGCTGTAGCTAGCTAGATTTAGCAGACTCCATCCTGTAGTCATTAATTCAGGATGAAGTATACAAAATTTAGAATCTCTACTTTTGAATGCATTTTTTAATAAACCTAGTACTTGTGAAACATTGTTAACACATACTTGTGTTAACAAGTATGTAGATATTACCTTATACTTGTTAACAAGTATGTATATATTACCTCATTGTGTTAACAATTATGTTACCTCGTGTGTATATTACCTCATATCCGGTTGTACAAAAGTACTAAGTTCTCTCTCTAATATACTGTTTGAGTTACTTTACATTATGACCGCTTGTTTCATTATGTATTGGTACATAAATATGTATATATATGCAGCATATATGTATTGGTACATATATATGCCTAAGTCTTTATTACAGCATGAGTAAGTCTTTATTACAGCATGAGTTTTTCTAACTTATCTCTTCTTTGTACAACAGACAAAAAAAATCTGTTGTCTGTGATTTTCAGTGTGAATTCACTTATGACACTAATTTAAAAACACATTCAGAACAACTGTTAACTTTGTATAGTTTTTTACTATGTTGGTAAGGATCTTGTACTGATCAACAAAACTGCAAACAAAAAGAGGATAACTCAACCATTTTTTATCACCATTTTTAGTATTTTTGTAACCAACTAAAAATAAGCCTTGAGTTTTCTCATAAAAAGGGAACCATACTTGGTGCTTTAGATTGATTAAAGTTTTTTCTTATATTATCATTTTTAAAATTCATTATATTATCATTTTTAAAAACAGGATAGCTTTGTTGTGTCAATGGCTTCATTTCCCTAGGTGCAAATATATGGCTCAATCAAAGTCATTCTCCATAGACTCCATGACTTTAATAATTCTAAGAAGTACACAGTCAGTTTTATCTGTTTTTTGTAAACTGAACCTGGAAAACTTGAAAAAGAATTTTTAAAAAGGTGGATAACACCAATATAAGTTTGTTAGTTATTTTGTTACCAAAAATTCATCTCCAATTTTTAAAACTCAATGGCAGCTACTTTCTGTTAATCTGAAAAAATACTCTTTATCAGTAATTTTTTAAAAATATCTACTTAATAAATGTATACCAATAGAATCATAGCCTGTTGCCTTGCTTGTTTTTCATTTCCGTGGTTTTATTTATTTCAAGATGTCTTAAAAAAGTTTTGAAAGTTTTTGTGCACTGATCCTGAAGTTTCAATTTTTAAGGTAACGCTTTATGTTACCATTAAAATTAAATCTTGCAAAAATATGTAAAATTTCAACAAGTTCTTTGTAATCTCCTCTCAATAAACTTTATAATCAAGTGAAGTTTTGCATAATTTAATAGTTTCTTGTTTTCAAAAAAAGTTTTTTTGAGACCTATGTTTACATCAAACATCTCAAATTTTTGTATATCAATTTATTGATCATAGTTTTTTTAACTTCTTAAGCATCAGATTTACTATGAGTAAATCTGATGCTTAAGAAGATTAAAAAATTATGGTGCTAATATTTTAAAATGCATATAAAGTTTTGTAATTTTAATAAAAATAGAAAAGTATTATTTTATGTCTGATACTGGTGCAAGCATTTTTACCAGTATTGTAGTTGTACCAGTATTTATCTGAATTTCAAGAAGGTTTAAGAGTTTTGTACCATAACATAAAGTTGGAGTGTTAAACAGAAAAAACTTGGGCCATAAATTATAATGTGAATGTTAAACTACTTTAAATGTTTATTAATGTTTATCATTACCACAAATGGATCTTTTTTCAACAAATCTTAAGTTGCTTAATGACAATTGAATTTGCTAAAAATTACTACCCGAACTAACAACAAGCTAATTAAAGAAAAACTTTGTATATTTATGTAACACAATTATGTAACAAGCTTCTCAAAGAAACATTTTTTGCAACAGTTTTTTTTCCTTTTGTCATAATTCAGAAACCTGATCATTTAATGGAAATATGTTGTGGTCAGCAAAATATCATACAGACTTAATAATATTTTAAAATTGCTATAAGTACGCAGAGTAAGAAAATATATTTTAAAAAATTATGATTTTTTAATGGTGTGTCATTACTTATTTTTTATTAGCTAACTAATCATAGAGGAGGAGGTTAAATTATTTTTTATACTCAAACATTTTGCTTTATTATTTATTTTTGTATTAATTTTTTTTTATTACTATTTATTGTATTAGATTTATTTTCCAGTTCTCAGATGAATCAGGTCCATCAGAACTAATTCCATTGACAATTGCCTACACTGTTGTGTTTTTCTATTTATGGTTTTCAACGGGTATTTGCTTTTTTTTATTTCATATTGAAATAACAGTGGTTTAACCTAATTGTTGATGAAAATATGAAAAAATAATATATTATTTTATAATAGATCCAGTTGACTAAATGACTAAATGGCTATAATATAATATTCTAATAGCAGTGGTTTTAAATTGATGAAAATGTGAAAAAATGATTTGATGATGTCTTAAATGTTACAAAAAATTATAAAAAATATTATTGGAGTTGGATTTTATTCTAAATTTTTTGATCAGTTTTTTAAATTGATTTTTGGTTTAGCTAAAGTTGAATTTCTTCGTACTCGCTGGGGGCTTGCATTTTCTGCTGTAATGAACTTTTTAATGTCTTTCAATATGGCAATTGGTATTTGCGTCATGTTTGATGTTCTTCCAACTACATTGAATGTGGGGTATGATTTTTTCAATGTTTTGTAAAAAATATTAATATTTAGATAATAGTTTTTTTATTTATTTTCAACATATTTTTTCATTTGATTTTTCTTTAGACCCAAAATCAAGAATTTATAAACTAGAAGATTTTGTTTTTTTTTAACTTCAATTCTTTTTTAAAAAAAAAAGTGGTTCAACACCATGTAATTGAAAGTATTCAAACAAATTTTTACTGATAATTTTTGTTTAAAAAAAATATATTGATAGTAGACAAAGATCATTTATTCATCTTATGTCAAACATAAGTTTGTGAAATTCTAGTAGAGTATACAATTTTTATTGGATTTTGAATTAATATCATTTAAATATGTTTTCAATTTTGCTTGAATCAAAGTAACTTTTACTTTTATTTATATTTAAAAATATCGTGAAAAAAAGATAGATTTATAAATTTATGAAATTTAAAATTGTATTAATGAATTTTTGTCAACATTAAGTTTATATGCTGCCCAGCAAACATTCTACAGCGGAGTTTTATTTTGAGCGGTCCAATTTTGCTCATCGGTTACTTAGTGGAACATTAGTAGCAACTGCCAAATATGGCCAGCCAATGAATAGCCATTATTAACATTTTTGAAAGTTATTGGCTTCCCATTTATAGTGGCTGCCACTAATGGTTCACTAAGATGAGCAAAATTCCAATGAACAACTTAAAATGCCTATTTAGTTCCATTTAGTGAACTAAGCTGGTATATTTGCCATAACACATCATTAATATTGTTTTATTTGAAAAATCTGGGACCTCCTTAGTCCTTACCTGTCGACAAAAAAATAGACAATAGGTATACAAGGTCATCAAATATATACTACACAGTTATCATGCTATGTGACTTCAAAGCTTTGCATATAATGTTGATTTAATAGTAAAAAATAAAATTCTTCTTTTATAGTAAAGGCTCTAGGGTCTTGTCTTTCAAAAAGCTTTTTTCTTTAAAATATCATAATTTTTAGATAGCAAAGAATATTCACAAAAGCCATTGAAATCTCTTTAGGTTTAACTAGTTTGTCTATATTTTTTCATTTTTGCTGTAAAAGCTAGACACAAATCCGTTATCAGTGTATAACTGTAAAAAAAAAAAATGAAGACCCCCAACACAGTGGTGTTAGAGGTCTTCTTGTTTTTGGATATCAAACATACATAACTTTTAGATAAAAAACATGTTTACTTTCATTATATGTGTCTCAAAAATATATCATACACTGAGTTTAATTTATCATTTTGTTCATAAATACAAACAAACAAACAATAAATGTCTCTAGAACAAGCAGAAAGTTATTGAGATGACTTTTATTTTAATAAATTGTTCATGAAATTGATTTGAATCATATTCAGGGGGTCATATTATTCAGATCACAATTGTTATTAAAGTAAAAAAAGTTTTTATGCAAGTTAATGCTCCATGCCATACTGTAAAATCCATAAAGACCTTTCTTGCTAATAAGAGTATCAAGCTACTTGATTGGTCAAGCAATTCTCAGAATAGAAACTTTATTAAAAATCTGTAGGAGCTTGTCAAATCCATAGTCAGTGGTGACATTATAACAAGTAAACAGAAACTCACAGAACACCTGATTTGAAGTATGGCATTGAGATCCAGATGTTAAAGCATTGATGTAAATAGTATTCCAAAACATATCAAAGTTCTTTTAGAGTCAAAAGGACTCATCACTAAGTATTAAGTTTTCAGTTCACCATTAAGTATTAAGTTACACTTTGTATGTAACAATAAATAGATTATATAACAAAAAATATTAAGTTGTGATTGCTTTTAGTGAGTTTTATAGACACCAAAAAGACAAAAAGTTAAAATTTGAGTTTGAGTCTAATAACATGAGTAGGTACTGTATATATTCCCAGCCAAGCAGTGTGCATGGGTCCCGTAAGAAAATATGGGCTTGGATGTGGGACCCATAATAGTTTCCTAACCAAAACCCAAAGAGAGTTGTTCAAGGATCCCATATAGAAACTGTAAGAGTTGCCCTCTGGATTGCTCTTAAGAGTCACTTATATTTCCCATTTTTTCGCCTTTATGGTTCCCAAATAGACTGTCTGGTATATCCCAGGTTTGTCTATAGAGACCCTGTAAATTTCTTATTTGTTTTCTCTAATTGGTTGCACAGGGTTTATCTATAATACTTTTAATATATGTATTTATACACAACTCGTTTGTACAGTGTGCATAAACATAAAAATACACAACTCGTTTGTACAGTGTACATAAACATAAAAAATAAAATGTAAAAATAAAATAAAAATTATAGAACTCTATATTTTTCAGCATTTATAAATGTGTACAATTTACAAATGAATGTAGGTATAAATGCGTACATTAAAATTTTTGATTATTTCAGCTATTTAAGTCTTTATAAAATAGGTAATTTTTACTCACTACCAATTTTGGTGAAAAAAATTTATAAAAAAAAAGAGTAATCAAAAAAAAATTCATTTTGGAAGAGGTTGGACAATGTTTTTTAGTTTCCTAGGAGCAAAGTTTTTTTTGTGAACTGGGAACCGTCATTCTAGTTTTTGTAATGACATATCGACCACCATATGTAAGTGATGCAACAAAAATAAGTTAAGAGTTTTTCACATTCAGAAGTCATGTAAATCATTTTAAACTTACAAGAATTTTTTTTTTTTTCATTATGCAAAACAACTTTTCTTCCAAACTTCTGCTGTAGATTTTTAATAATATTTTTATTTTTTTAAATTTTAATTCACTTCCTCAAGGCCATGAAGGCCATTACAGTCGAGGAAGGTATTTTAGTTGTGGTTACAATCCTCTTGCAGCTCTATAGCTCAAACACAAATCTTGACAAACAAAGCTGCTTTGCAGAGATAACAAGATGAGGGCGATACTACCAAGGAACTTCGCTTATGAGGCAATCGTTCTACCACTACACCACTACAGCATTAATGTCAGTGGCAACTTTATATTCAAGAAATGCCTCATATTAAACCAAAAAACTGAAATACTGACATACACAGATTAGATTGGAGTATGACAAAATTAAATTAAGCAATTGTGTTGTTACTTTAAATAATAATCTGCAATAGTAGAACTCATTGACACTGAATTTGCCCTTTCAGCACTTGAAGCAATTGAAGGTGAAAATTGTTCACTATTCCATATATTGAAATCATTAGAATGTTCATCACTAATCAAAATGGTAATAAAAGCTTATTATATATATATTTTTTTTTAGTTACCAGTATTCTATTCTTTTATTTCTTTGACAAACACTTGATAATTTTCTTTTAATACAAACTACTAAAAATGCAGTAATCATTTTGAAAACTTAACAAATTTACTTTAAAGTTATACTTTACAAATATATTTATAAGAATTAACACATTCAATTGTAACTTTCAAATATTTAGAACATTATATTAATTATATATAAAAGAATTCTAAATATATACGCAAATAATGAAACTCACTGTTGCAACTGATGATCATTTCTAGATTTGTTGTTTGATGGGAGTTTGTAGAAGATTTACTGTGGCTTTTGAATGGCAAGAGCAGAATTTACTAATATCTTCTTTATTTTAAAATACAAAAATAATCTTTAATAATATGTCTACAGGTAATAATTGTAAAAGAAATTTCTAAATAACAAAAAAGAAAGAAAAAAAAAAATTAGGCAATTTTGTAAAAAAAAATTCTTTGGTTCTGCACTGTAAAATTGATCATTTTAGAATCCTCATTTTCTGTTTCTCTCTCATAACTGATCTTAGTCACTCTGTATCAATATAAATGACAAAAATGTATGACTTTTTACAAAAGAAATTGTAAAATTTCTTTAGTATATTATTAACTCCAACATAATAAAAGACACAATTTTTAAATAATAAATTAACATTAAGAATAAATTATACCTTAATAAATTAATACAAAAGACATTTAATTAAAACGCGAGCTTTTATACACAATATTAACTTTAGCAAAAGTACATTTGAGAGTTCCAACAAAACTTTTTTAATGTGGCAGCATTAAATATATAATTTTTAATTATTCTAAAGAATAAACTTTTACAAGATATAAAGGTTTTTCAAAATAGAAAACAGACACTAAAGATAAGTCAAGTGGCTCTGTAAAAAAGTGCTCATTACACTTAAACTTTACATAAATAACAAAAGTATCAGAGTTATTTGAATCATTTCTAGCAAGAATATTTTTAACTAAATAAACTTTGCTATCTATTGCAAAGCAGTTGTTTTCATTTTTATAAGAAGCTAAAAACTTTAAGACATTTTTAAATTTAACAAATTAAATTTTAAATTTAACAAATTAAATTTGACAAATTTAAATTTCTAGCAATCTAAAAAAAAAAAGAAAAGTAGGGACAAAATTTTCATTAACAATTTTTATGATAAAAAAACTAAAAATATTTTGCAGATAAATATTAACAAATGAAAACGTCAAATAAAAGAACAACTATAATTAAAAATAATTTGTAATTAAATAACATATTGCTACGCGAACAACCATTTTTATTAAAAAAAATTTTTCTCTGATATTATTTTATGTTACTCTGGTTTTTTTATCAATTTCCCATAAGGTTCCCAGACAGATCCCACTGGACAAATCCCATATATATAAGTATATATATAAATTTATATATAAATATATATATAATTTATATATAAATATATATAAATTTATATATAAATATATATATAAATTTATATATATATATATATATATATATATATATATATAAATTTGTATATATATATATATATATATATTTATTTATTTATATATATTTATATATATATATATATATATATATATATAAATTTGTATGGATATATATATATATATATATATATATATATATATATATATATATATATATATATATATATATATATATATATATATATATATATATATATATATATATATATATATACACACACACATATATATATACAACAACGAAGAAAAAACAA